AGAAAACCACGTGGAGACAAAGTACAACAGGGAACTCTAGAAATGTTGGATCCTCAACGTGGCAGTTTCCAATTAATGCGCTATAAGTTGTACAAATTATTTTCCAATTAATGTGCATTAGTAAAACACCGGATTTTTTCAATGACGGAAAGTTAAGGACTTAGAAAAAATCTTCAGGGCGCAAAAAACGAAGGTTCTAGAATTAATGTTTAAACTACACTATGGCATACTTAATACTGTATTCGTTACTGTTGTTCAGGTTTAAGTAAAATATTCATAGCCGTTTTTGTTTTTTTTCTGTTGCGGCTTTTAAAACTATAATCAATAATAATAAAGCTGGTGACCCTGTTATAAATATAGACATTGTTTGCTCCAATAAAATGAAGCATTTCTAACGAGAAAACGGTGTTTAAATGCCTTCTACATTTCTACGATGCTTGAATAGCTTCATAGAGCTTATGTTGGTAGCATAGAAGAACATAGAAAATTTATAGGGTGGAAATTTGACTTTCAAGAATAAACTTAACAATAGCCCTACAACCTTCGCAAGAGGTTGTTTTAAAGCTGTACATAAATTTTGGCGCAGTATATCTAGCCGTTTTTGCTATAGCTTCGGTGCTTGAATAACTTTGAAGAGCAACTTAGTGGGTAAGCGATGAGAAAACTGATAAAATATCTATTCTTTCAAGAATGAACATAGAAATAGTCCTATGACTGCACAGGAGTTTTTTTAGTAGGTTTGTCCAGGTTTAAATGAAATATTCTTAATAGTTTTTTTCTTCTATAGGCTTGTAAAACAAGAATAACATAAAATAATAATAATATGAAAAACAAATGGGCGAATTTAGAATTTTGTCTAGTAGTCGGAAAATCACCTTTTTTTTTTTGTTATTATCAATATTTTAGCAGCTTTAGGCATTGAGATAGACGTTCTTGTCTGTTGTTCCAAGAACAAATCTGCTTTTAAAATGGTTTTTGGTCGTATATTCTATTAAAATTTTTTATGAACTCCCTGGGCGATCCCTATTACGAACCGCTATTGTGGTTCATTATAATAAGTAGGCAAAAAACAATTTATAAATCGTTGTTTGCCTACCTATTATTATGAGTTTGCTTGTATTTGTAACTTTTGTCTTGTACAATGTTTTTGTTTTTTCTCTTTGCTTACGTGTGATGTGGTGTAACTATTGCACAGAGCTGAAAGTTATACCAATTTCTTCACAAGTATTTAAGATATAAAAGTGATAAAATCTCTCTTTCTCTTTTAAGAATCAACATAAAAAATATTCCTATGATCTGTGCAGAAGTTTTTAATAGATTTGCCCAGGTTTTTTCTGTAGGCTTGTGAAACAAGAATAATATAAATAACAACAATAATATGAAGAACAAATGGACGAATTTTGTCTAACAATCGGAAAATCATTTTTTTTTTTTTGCTAGTATCAATATTTTAGTAGACTTAGACATTGAGATAGAAGATCATGAGTGCTACTTCAAGAACAAGTCCATACTGGGTACAAAAACTAATTTGGTGCAAAAACGATTTGATATTTTTTCTCTATTCTCAGAGACCAACTGTTTCTGGAGAGAAGTCCTTCTCATGTCTATCCGATGGTGTGGATTTTCTTCTGTTTCCCGGAATGTAAAGAGCTTGCTTTCAGTTAGCTTGTGATGGCTACCTTGACAATGAGTGTCTGTGTCTGTCTTTAATTTCTTAAAATTTATTTGTGCCTTTGTCACAAAAACTTGGGATGACCCAAATTTGCCATCTATAGGAAAAGGTATACAGGCAAAACAAGCAGCGCCATTTTCCTGTTTGATGTAGAGATCAACCATCTAGGATTGAAGTAGGCCTGGATTACATACTGTATTAATAATACAGAGAGAATCAGTCGCCAGAAAATTGCAATTATTTATTTTTCTAAATCTCCGGGGGGTACATGCCCCTCACTGTGCTCTATAGTTAATACACCACTGTGGTCGTAGGTGCTGTAAGCAAAGAGGAAGTAACCAAAGCTAGCAGTAACACTAGGGTTGTGTCCATCACAATTTGGCTACAAACAAGTATATATCTGCCAATAGGTCTGAGCTCAATGTTTGAGAATTGAGAAAATAATCTAAACCTAATGCAATGAAAGTAGCTCAGTGATTTGTTGGTTGAGTATGACGATATATTTGTGAAATCAGATGGCCATCTAGGTCGAACAACAGTGACTCACTAAAGGATAGATACAGGCAACACACACATAAAATAAAACAATTGCTTAGCTTGCTTCCCTGAAGCACTGAGGACATACTCAGTGCTGAAATGCAGTGGATGTTGAAGGATGGAGTCAAACAGCCTTTAGAGATTGCTTTTATACTCCAGTAGTAATTGTTGATTTTAGAAGGGTGAACTGGTACCTTGAATTAATGTATTTCCCTTATCATAAACAAATGATTGTGTGGAGGACATTGACACTGATGACAACAATAATGGAACTGGGGTGGTTTTATCATAGTTGCAGTATAAAGTATAATATGTGATATTGTGCAGTAGTCGTATATTTATGGCTCTGGATGCAGAAACTGTTCTATGCCAAAGAAATAGCTCCTTGGACTTGAATTTTTTGTAAAATACTATCACAACGAATTTTAATGTAAAGAGTTCACCATCCAAATGGAACATATTTCACTCAAGTGGTTGATGAACTTTGAAAATCTGAAAGGGATGATAGCACATCAGATGACTGTGTTATAAAACATGACTTTTCATAGTGTGTCACCTAGGCCCACAATGCTGAAATGTGAATGGACTGTATTGCCACATAAAGAGGCCTTTTCTTTTCATGGAATATCATGAACCTGGACACCATGTGGAAGTAGAAATAATTTCTGCCATAGTAACATCAAAGTCTGAAGTAGAAAATTCTATTAGTTGAGTGATTGGAACTCCAGGAAGAACAACTGAAAGACTCAGGTCGAGCATGAGATTTCTTGTTGTGAAGCAAAGGATAACCCCACTAGCACAAATACGGGAATGTATTATGAATGCACATAACCTATGGTCAGTTACAAGTGTGAGAAAGTGTGCTGTACCATCACTAAACCATTAAGCCATGGCTGTGTTGTAGCTAGGATCAGGAAGCTTATTTCACAGTGTTTCATTTTTGTAGTATGTATCAATCCTTATAAAGGGGTTTCCATTGTATGCTTTTACAATTTAAGGATATTTTAATGTAATATATATATTAGTGAATTGTAAAGGGTTTTCTTTTTTTTTAATTAGCTATTTTATTATTACACAGGTGAGAGAAATATAATGCACTTCTTGACTAGTTAATGAGTGTAAAGCCAGTTGATTCTAAAGTTAAGTTTTATTGTCGGCTGGATGACAAGTTGAGAAGAGGGAAAAGTAAATAAGTGGTATACAGGTGTACACCAAACGTTTTTCTACCTACTTGTTTTAATGCATAAATGTTAAAATTTTTGGTTCATTCTTAATTTATGCAGTTTTCGCATAACACGTAATCCAGAAAACCGTTAAGTTGATTTTGCTCTAGCTGTAATTGTTCATTTGTTGTTTTCTATAGATAATACATGCTCTGCACGTCGAATCTGCTGTGATGCAAAAAGATCAATGACAGCAGTGTTCTTCATTGGTAGGGCAGATAATATCTATAAATTATTACCTCCCGTAAATTGATGTGAATAACCAGACCAATTAAGTAATAAACATTAGATTTAGATAATCTACGCAGGATCTCAGTCGAATTAGTTTATGGAAAGATATCACGAAGGAAGAACATCAGGTAATACATTCACAAGCTCAGTAGCATGCTGCTGTCCAATGTCTTAATGCAAGTACCTACACTGTGTTTTTGTTTTTGACATAAATAAAAATTGTTTCAATTATATATAACATATTGTTACGACAGTGGAAGTCACGTGACGCTTGTTACACGTCATGAGATTCTAGAAGGATCATGTCTGTTCGTGGCAACTCTAGTCTTTTCTACGCGCCCTCTATTCTTGTATATAAGCTCGCCAGACAATGGATCGGGACGAGAATAATTGCAGACAGAGAGATATAGAGACAGATAATCGAGTCAAGCCGTAAGTAAAGTGCGTGAATCGTTGTGAATTCTAGCGTCTGTTAAAGTTAAAGTGACTGTGGAAATTAAGTGTATTGCAAAGTTGTATTGAGAAAGAATAAACTAGTTTTATTTAAAAAAGGACTTGTATTGCTGAAGTTCTTCGGAAGGAATTTTTACGGGTAATTAACAAACGACCAGAGACGTAACAATATCATATCTAATCCGTTTATTTATTTACTTAAACTCGGTTAGCAGTTAATTTCAGACTTATTTTATAATTTAATCTGTCGATGCTCTAGTTATAAAGCCGCTCTACTTAATACTTTTTTGCTGAAATCAGTTTCACTTGAGATTATCACAATAATACCACTCTTTTTAAATTCTTTTTCAGAAAACAAAAACATAATGGTGTCTTCGAAGCTATTAATCTAAAAAAAAAAAGTGATACTTTTAATTATCAGATAAACTAGTTATAACCTGAGGAGATCATTTCCTGGAGATTTTCAATGCTAGTTTCTGAAATGAAAGCTTTATTTTTATTTTGATATTTTCTTTTGGTTATTGTTTATTTATCATTACTTAAAAATCGTATGTTGTGATTAATGATGTCTTAAATATATTGACATGTTTATTTTTTATGTGTATATATTTCTTGAACTGATTAATTACATCTTATTACAGTAAATTGTGCACTGTTATCAATAGCAACTAGACTCATTGGTGTAGCTCATTGATATTAACAGCTTGAAATATTAAAGATTTATAGAAGATTCTTTCTATTGGCACATTTCAAAGATTAGAGTACATTACCTTTTATATTTATACTTTAGTAATATTAAATTAAGTCAATGTTATGGACAGGTGGCGCTATGTTATGTGGTTGTGTTTCCCATCTTGCCCCTTTTTATACACATGTCGCCATTTTTGTGACTGAATACGTAAGAGTAGTTTATATTTTGAGGCTCCCTGTGTTGTAATTTTTAGTTTGAATGTGTGTGTATTTATTCTTATAGCAAAATATGAATCTATCTATCATGTTCAATGAATTATTGTTTATAAAAAGTGCTTGATCTTGCCAGAAACTTTAATTTAGTGAGTACTGGAGTTGACGAGTTAGTCAACAAAAGTCAAAACTCGGGAACCCGGGCCTTGCTCCAAGTCCAACTCCAAGTCATGGCTGAAAAAATCCGTGGTGATGCAGTTAGTAATGAAGAATCAAGAACGCTTACTGATAGATCAACTTCAGCAACCATTTATATTGATGCAAATCATAAAGACAGAGGTCAGTTATCGGCAGCAGCGGGGGAGTATCAAATTCATAAAAAGAAGCCAACATCTTTCCAAATTACAAGTGTAACTGTACAAGGATCACCTCGATTGAGTAATGATGCTGGAGAAGACAGTGCAGATGATCTTGACGAAAGTCATACTGAAGATATACATTCAGATGGGCAAGACAGCTCTAGATTTACTGAACTAGAAAATGATCAGCTTTCTGAAGATAGCATGATAAACAGTAATAGTAATAGCAACATAAGTGATAGATCTAAAGTGTCTCAGGCTGGGCCAGGCACAGAAACAATTTCCAGTCCATCCATTCCAGCAAAATTTGAGAATGTTGTTGAGACCACTAGTAATGTTAATATAATTGCTACAACCAGTGATTCCAAAGTAGGTGTAGATATTCCTTTAAATGTTTGTAATTCAAGTGATTTTGTGGGAAATGTGATAGATCCAGATGGTCAAAATGTCACATTGTCATTTGTGACGAGTTGCACGACCAGTAAATCTACTTGTACAGTAAGTGGCCAGATGCCCATGACATCTCTACCAGACCAATGGCAGAATCGTTTTAAAGTTGTTAAACTTGTCAGTAGTGAACCATTTAAACGGGGACGTTGGGTTTGTATGGATTTTACAAACCCACCTGCTGTGCAGGCAGATGTTTCTAAACAAGAACTTTCTACTGATCAAGGTAGTGCTTCTGGTGCTTCAAGTGCTGGAAGCTCAGCCACATCAGTGGTTAGTGAAAGTCAACCATTAGATACTGTAACACAAGTTCATGAAATTCCTGTAAGTCAACCTTATTCTGCTACTGGTAGCATATTGGCTGCAACAGATACTCCACACAGTTCTCAATCTGTATACGAGATTTATCTTCCAATGAATAATCAAATTTCTAGTGCTCAGCAGGTACCCCAGATGTCCATGGTTCAGAACTTTGGAATTAAAGCTGGCCAATCAGTTGTAGTTGACCCACAACAAACATTCTTGCCACAGCAAAGTCAAACTATGATAAATGCATCACAGAGCCAAACAAGCCAGCTTCAATCTCAACACCAGATACAACCTGGTCAGACAGTTTCTGCAATACCCCAACCTCCAACTCAACCAATAGTTCAGGTCTCAGAAACATTGCCTCAGCCTGTTGTTTCTCAACAGCATCCAACTCCACCTTCTCAGCCTACTTCGGGGCTGCATACACAATCCATGGGAAACATTCCAGATGCCTCACAATCCCAGCTATCACAGACTGTATGTAGTCAAGACCAGAACTACCAGGTTCCTAGTCAAATTAATAAAGCCTCTACGAGCAGTGATGTTAGTGCTCCAAATGTCATTACTACAGGAACTGCATCTGTGCCTCCTTTATCGAAAGCTCTTCCTGATACCTTAACTCTTGGAAGTGCGGGTGATGGTGAGGAAGCTGAAAGGTAGGAAGTTTCATGTTAATACAATAACTTGGGAGAGTTAGAAATAAATTATTAAAGAGTAGGAAATAAAGACATGGAGTTTAAGCTTTAATTCACGATGAAAATACTTGAATAATAATGAAAATTTTGTCTAAGAATATCTCTTTCTAATTCAATATGAAAAGTTACCAAAGTACTGAAAAAAGTCACTTAAGAAATGATAGAAAAAGTTATAGGCATCAATTATATTTAATCTATGAAATCCAATGAGAAGTATTTATTTAGAATAACAGAATTTTGACTAGGCTGTCCTATAATAGTACTATATTTTCAGTTCAACTGCTGATTAGTTCTTTTGATCCACATTGTGCTTATATTACATGTTATAAAAATAGATCCACTAGCACTTGAAAAAACAAGTACATTCTAGATCTTGAAGGGAAAATGTATGTTAAAAGTTATCCTGTGTATAACTAATTTCTCAGTTATAAGAATAAATATGCAAAATAGAGTAAAATAAAAAAATTATTGGGCTCCAGAACATTATCTGAAGAAATTCAAAGGCAACCAAATATCATTGCTACTGTTGTCTTCTGCAGATGCATGCATGTGTTAATGGCAAACTGGAAGTGTTCTTTTCTAAGGGATAACAAAAAGCCCTTTGGATCATTTAGACTATCCCAATTGCTGCAACTATCCTGCTCCAAATTATGTACATAGAGAAACCCATTTTTATATCCAATCCTGATCTCTCAAATACTCATCCAGTCTTCTCTTAAAGTCCTTGAGTATTGGAGCTTCTACTACATTTGAAGTTAAAGTATATCTGTATACTGAGTACTGTAATAAAAAAGTACTTTAACACTGCCTTAGCAAAATTTTCCATATCTCTTGCCTTTTTTTCTTTTTTTTTTCAGAAATGGTGTCACTTCTTTTCCATTTGGCATTATTGTTAGCATTATTACAGGTGTTGTTTTTTATGATTTCTTTCAAAATGTTACTTTGTGAGTCAGGTTTTCAAAATAGTGTTTACTTAAAAAAAATGTTCCTCAATTTCTGACACCAAATATTGAAATAAGCATCCATTAAGTTTTTATCAATTCCCATTTAACTTGGTTAAGTGATGGTCAATTGTTTTTTTTCTTGAAGAGCTATAGTTTGTTGTAAACTTAACTGTCAGCCATAATTATGTAGCTATACTTACAACTATTCAAAATAAATTGGTACATTCTTACCCCCTTTGCATTTATTTTTATTCTAAAGTTCAAGTACACTTCAGTTGTTCAATTCATTTTAGAATACTTAATTATTTCATTATGAGATTATGACATCTTTCACTACTAAAAATATCACCAAAACAAACACTTGACTCTCATTATTTGTAAATCAGAAGTAGTTCATATCCAAATTGTGGCTTTTTATATTCTACATTATGCTTCAGTCACAGCTAACTCAATAGAAATAATGTGAAGAAACTTTCATTTCCATTTATAGAAAAAATAAACATTTTGCACTTGTCACTTTACATCCTACCCATCTGATGTAGGCGTACTTGTAAAATCTTGTTATATCTCAGTTTTGAGCTAGATTTTTATAGCACTCTTGCATTTATAACTTCCAACTTTCCAACCTCAAATCAACAGTGACTACAAATCTTTAACATTGTTTAGTTTGATGAGGTTACTGGGATAACAGTTGTGGTGACCTTTTTTTTTTCCAAGGATGAAGCTTACAGAGTATCAAAGTGTTTTGTTAATTCTTAATTATTTGTGCATTATTATGCTGGTGTGTTATTACTTTTTTTTTTAATGTTTAGTGTCATAAACCTGTAAGTTAACCCATTGACAATGCCACCACAGTTTTAATGTGATACGAAGATCATGTGACTACTGTGTTGTAAACTGCACTAATTTCTGCTTTTATTTTCAACTTTATTTTGTAGCAAACTTCTAGGTTAAATAGTTGAAGTATTGATAGTTGATATCTTTTTTTTATTGTAAAACATTTCTCAAAGCAAGTTTTATGGATTTAAAATTTAAATTATTACTATTTATTACAGCCTGTTGTTTTTGTTTATTATTATCTTACAACTCACCAATATATATGGAAAACAAAATTCATATCAATAACAATCATATAGAGTATTAGCTTCAGCTACAGAAATGTTCTTATGATATAATAGATTTTTAAAGAATATGAAAATGACAAAAATAACTCATTCTTTGATGAATCTATTAAGGAGACTAACGAATGGTGTATGACATTAAATTTAGATAATGGACAATGTTTGTTGTACTATTAGTCAGAGGCATTATTTTGTAGGGAAAATATTTGTATTTTCTGTTGAATTACTACATACGGAATAACAAACTGTTACCATTAGATGTTGAGTCGTTTTGATTGGTTAATTTTAAAAGGTTGAATTGAAAACCATCCAGTGTAATTCCTGCTTTTGAACAGGAGGAATCAAGGATGATCTGGGATAATATATGCTTTTAGTTTAGCTTCTGTTGTAATAAAATTTGTGAAATATTTTGCGTGAGTTACTTAGGAATGGATTTAGGAAGTTGGAACTTGAGCAATAATTATCCTCAAATCTTAATGGAAGGGGGTGCAATGAAAGATATGCAATGTCTACTGAGGTTCCTTCAAATAATGATAAAAAAGAAGAAACCTTATGAAAGAGAACAAGAAAACTTTACTGTCATACCAAGTATTTTTATTAAATTTTAGTTTTTACTGCATGAACTTTGACAATAGATTCCTATATCTGCTAACAACAGAAGATAAATCTAATATGCTAGTATTTTTTTTTTCAGTCCTTTCTTTTTAAAATTTTGACATTAGCAGTCTTTTGTAAAATCACCAGAGCTGCTCCAATTGTCAAGCAATTTTTAATTTAAATAACCTATAAAACCTCACTGATATCTTAGATTTATAAAAAATTTAGGACAAATGTCATCAATGCTGGAAACTTTACTTTTAAGAAACTTCCAAAGCTCTTTTGAAAACTTTTTTTTCTATTCACAGTAATGTAATTTAAAGAAAGCTACCCTTTACCTTAAAAACAAAAATGCTTTTTCATTTTAATTATTATTATAAATCTAAAATATTTTCTTTGTTCACTGTCAAAAAGTATTTTTTGAATTTTATAAATGTCCAGTAATATTTTAATTTTTATTTAAAACAACAACAATAAACTCCTGGCACTTTTGAAAGGTGAACATCTTTTCTTTAGGGGTAAAGGTAGATTCTTCTAACCAGATTTAGTGGTTTGAGTTAAAAGGCTTTTGAATTTCATTGCTTTTTCGAGCTTTCCCTTTTTTTTGTAATAAATCTCAGATATAAACTAGCTTTTCTAAAAAAAGCTTAGCACTGTCATTCTATTTAAGAATAATTTTTGATTTGACTACAATATTTGAACGAAATACAAAATTTTTAAGATAGTTTGATTAAACAAGTCAGAGTTTTGATTTAGATATTTCTTTATACATCAGAAAATTTTTTGGTTACATCATACCTTTCAGTTCATAAAAGTTGGCTTTCTTAAAATGTCTTAATAATTAGCTTATTTTTATTAATAGCATAAATAATCTATCACTGATCTTATCGAGAAATTAATAGAAAATACCAGTAAACTTCTTTCCATGTTTTTTCTTCTTACCTGAAAATTAGACCTGAGAAGTTAGTGGAATTTGATAATTAATTGTCAAGCTAATTAATTGATTTCATTCAACTAATAATTTATTCTCAAATAAGACTTGGATATTTGGAATAATAAAAAATAGTAATAATTGGAAACACTGCTTTTGATTACTTTTGTGATATTATTTAGAAGAAGCTGATATAGTTGTCTAATTGTTTAACAAACTTTTTGCAGTTTTCATTCTATGCCCATATCATAGTTTAAGAAGCATTGGTATGGTTAGATAGTTGTTTAACTTTAATTTAATAAGAGGATAAGTTGATAGTAAAATGTTCTTGATTTTTCCTTTTACTTTGATACCATGAGTACCAGTGATAGGACTCTTGGCAACACTGAAGCCTGGAATCTTGGGAGTGTAAACTTTATTAGGATATTTAATATTGAAGATGAAGACAGTTGATAAAACACAAAACATTTTATTTATAAGGTTCAAACATTTCAGAATAACTTATTCCATCTTAAGCAAAATCTGAAAATTGTGTTACAAAGATGATTATTACTAAAAATTATAATATAATAACGTAATCATTAGTTTACTTAGTTATTAAGAAAAACGGTAAATGGATGGATGAAACAATGTTTATATATACATATTATACAACAGCTGAGTTAAGTGTGAAAACTTAGAACAATTTTAGATCTAAAGAGCTTTGTGAGTCGTTAAGGGTTGGACAGCCTTTAGTTATGAATAGATTTTCTTTGATGTAGAGGTCAAGGTCTGAAGATCCTGCGGTGATGACAGAGAAATCGTTAAATGAAATATTGTGACCTGAGGTTTCAGAATGTGAGCGAATGTATGAGTGGCTGGGTTTAAGTAGTGGATGTTTGGTTCTGTTAGATACTCCTAAATGTTCACAGACTGTACATTTTAAGTGGCATTTCATTTTGTCAATGTACGTGACCTTACAGTCACTACACATATATTTATACTCAAGTACCTAAACTTCTACATTCATGGCTTGTGATTACTTCATCATGAAAATTACAGCAAGAGCTAGTAACTTTATAAGCTTTGTGAATTAGAATGTTTATTGAATTCATTTTGAACAACTGGGTATAAATGTATTGAAGTGACAATACAGACCAGAAAATGTTGGTTTGTGGTAATCTCTAGTTTTGAACCTGTTGTTCAGTTTGATGACCTTTTACATAAAAAAAAAAGGTAATTTCCATTCTCCTTGTTCTTTAACTGTAAACTTGATATTCTTGTGTTTAGAACTTAAGTAATCTTGTAAGGCTTAAATTCAGATGGAGAGGACTGTAACCAATTAGTTTCATGATGAGACAAAAATTAATTAGTTAAGACAGTAGCAAG